AGTGAGTTCTTCTCCACGGGTCAACCAGACTTCATCACGCGTGTATACCACCACAAAAAGCGAAAATCTCTCAGAGGACCAGCACGGTTGCCCGAGGCAAGCTGCGATACCAATGACAATGACGGCTGGCCTATTTTCCATCGCGTAGGCCGGCACGCACAACCACAAACCGGCCACTTACGAACGGTGGGCCGCCTCGCCCTTTCGCAAACGTTTATGAGGATAAAACAAGGCCAAGGCCTCTACTTCCGAGGCTGACCAGGGGCACCCCCGACCTGTTGCATAATGCCACACAGTGACAGCCGCTTCGACACAAGGCTACAATCAGCACCAGCGACTCCTTGTCTATAGCATATGCAACCAACGTGCTGCCGCGAACGGCGCCCCGCCTTACCCTTTTCATTTCTGAGGAAAACACAAGGATTCGGGCTTCAGACCTGGCCGGGCCTCCCTCGGCCTGGTACCATGTCAACAACAGCAACATTCCTTCTCTCTTCCAAGTATTAAACGCGTGCGAGGGCTGCAAAGCAAACCAACAACAACCATTGTCGAGGCCCTCTTCCAACCAACCTCCCACGCTTCCATTATCTCTTCTCCGTTAACCAATGGGACGGATGACTTTCTCAAATTTGGGATACAATGATGCCCCGAGGCATATCCCGGCCTCAACTGAAGCCCGCTTCCGCTTTCCCTACATGGCTATGGTAAAAACGTTGACGATGCTGGCGTTTCTCCTGGCGAGACTACTGTTGTTGTAGTCATCAAGCGGGCACGCCACCTATGCATCTACCACTACAACAAAGAGGAGCTTTGTTTTCTTCCGCCTGCCTGCCTCACTCAGCAACCCCGTTTCCCAACTATCCATTGTAAACCCCGCCCCGCCCCCGTGTACCCCCCCATCCCCGCCACCTTAAGGTCAAATTCAGGACCGGGAACATAGGCCTTCCAGAAGGTCGACGAAAACATGGGACGGTAGACGACGAAGACGACGAGTTCAAATGTGATTGCGGCTTCGAATGCGAAGACCGTGTTCATGTAGTCGCGGAATGTCCGTTGTACAAGAAGGAGAGGGAAGTGTACGTGACTGAGCTGGGAAAAATAGGTGGGACGTACAGGGAGATGTTTAAGGTATAGGATGGA